TAATACCGTGATAAGAAATAGGGTGAGGGGTCCTTACTTATTTCGGGGTCTGAATTCGACTCTACAGTGCGCCTACAGCCTGTCCCTAATTTCCTTGAATTTTTCCTGAAAAACTGAAACGTACTACCGGTACTTGCACATGTCCCAAAAAATCCCAAATCAGACCTAGGGTCCCTTTCGGCCAATGTCGACATTCCGGCACGGCGGCTCCGCCGTGCTCCGGCGACGACGCCGCCGTCTACGGCGGCGATCCGCCTCGGGTTGGCCGTTTTCGGCCATTTTCGGCAAAACTTGCATCGGTCCCTGCGATAAAACAACCCTAAGACCCTCGGTGGGCCAAAAAATCACAAAAAATCGAAACTTACCGGCAGCGGTGCTCTCGGGTGTGGCAGCTCCTCCGGCGTGAGTCGCGTTTTGATGTTTGGCTCCGATCAACCTGTAAAGAAAAGAACGGTGATCACAGTGGTATAAAAATTTGCATCGAACGAAGGCTGGAAGGGCTCATCGGAGGCAAAACAGAGGGGGTCCCGGCGGCCCTGCTGGACTTCGGCTGGGTTTTTCGGCCGTTTGGCCAGTGGTTTGGCTCCGGTTTGGCCATAGGCGGACTCAGCATCGAAAAACGAGCCAGTGGGAGAAAATTTACCTCAATTGGCGGTCGAAAACTTCCCCGGTGCAGCAGCGGGTGGCGGCGGCCGGCTCCTCCGACGTCTGGTTCTTTTTCTCCGACGAGGCACTGGCGGCTAGGGTTTTGTGGTCAGGTGTGGGTGGGGTTATTTATACCCTTTGCCTTTTAATCTCAACCGTCCATCAAGATTAAATTTGGACCGTCCATCGTGATGCAATCTGGGCCGTCCGTGCCTGATTGAATCTGGGCCGTCAGTACGCGTGAATCTGGGTCGTCCGTGCGCGCAGGAACTGATCTGGGCCGTCCGATCGCGCGCGCGCGTATCGCCCACGTGGCCCGTCCCGTGTCAGCGTTTCCTTGCCACGCGGCGTGTCCTGATTGGCCGGGGTTGCTGACCGGGCCGCTAACGTGGCACAACTTTTCTAAATTACGTTTTGACCCCCGGTTTCCGATTTTCTTTTCAAAAACATCCCCAGAATCCAAATTTTCACCCTTTTTTTCCAAAATCAATTTCAATTAAATCCAAATAATATTTTTATCCAATTTTATCATTATTATTATTTTTATTTTCATTAAATTAAATTAAATAAAAATCTAAAAAAAATCAAATAAATAAAAAAAATAATAAGATAAAATAAGAAAAAAAAAACACTTGGGTGTTACAATATTGATTTTGAAAAAGAAATTATTCGTTGTTTCAAATATATTTTATGTGTAAATTTTAATTATCTTAATATGTGTAACTAATCATTATATTTTATTTACTTGATGTATAATACATGAAAACCAATGGAATTGTATATTATTAAGAGATTAATTATATTGTTTACTTGTTAGGAACTTAATTATGTTATTATTAATATGCAAATATCATTTAATTATCCTAATAACTACATTATTTACTTATCAGAAAGTTATTTGTGTTAATACGCAAATGTCATTTAATTACAAAAAATATTTAAATTTCTATGCAATATATGTGTATGAGTGTGTGTATATATAACAAGCAGACAGTCCTATTTTCTAAGTCTTTGAACGGCTCGTGGTATACTTTTAAACATAACATGTTTCTCAGCCCTATCCATTATTGAACAATGGTATACACACACACACACACACACAGGTATGTGTATAAAGTCACAAGAGGAAAAATATAATATTTGTCGGAAACATTTTGTGTTAAATTAAAAGGAATCTTAAACCACTCCAACACCCACAACTCAAGCATCATTACTCTGTACACACATACATATATATATATATATATATGTAAAGTATGTATGTTAAAAAGACATGGAAGAAATGTATTATTATTCAAATTGTTCTGCTGTGGGGGGAACCATGGCTGAGCCAAGTCCAACAAAAAGCAATCTACTCAGCTTAAGCCAGAGGGCTGATACAGGTTGTAAAATAGCTCTGTATTGATACTCTCTATTCAACTCAATTAAAACCATTACTGGTTCTAAGTACAATATACTGATACAAAGGAAATTTATTTGCATACTAACTATACCCACTCTTACCCGAAATTAATTCCTTGTGCCAACGGTAGTTCGCTCCCATAATTGATTGTACTGTAAAAACATGATACCCGCTAGACTAAGAAGTACTGATAAAAAATATTACACAGTAAATAATAATAGAGTGAAGAATTAAGATTACCAAGTCGAGCGTCTCATGTATTGTTTCCAAGAGTCACTTCCTGCTTCACGGCCACCACCTGTAGCCTTCTCTCCGCCAAAAGCACCGCCAATTTCAGCACCATTGGTTGGTATATTCACATTCACAATGCCACAGTCGCTTCCTTGAGGCCTATTATATGACACGCAACTGGTTAATAGGTCCTCGGTGCTGACATTAAACTCGAAAGAAACTTTTCTATTATCACACAAAAAGAGGAAAAAAAAAAAACCCTCAAGTCCGCCTCAGTTAATTACATAAACAAGTTAAGTGTACTCTTCACTGAAACATATCAATTGCAATTGCATAGAACTTCCCCCACTTGCTAAAAAAATTTAGTATTTATTCTATATTAAAATTATCTAGAAAGTTAATACATGAGAAACCTCGTTTATATGGATTTTACCTATTATATAGGACGATAATAAGTGATAAACATCATTTATAGATATTGTTCATATCATTTAAGATAACAACAAGTGTTGAACCTCATTTATAAAGTATTGGTGCCCATTTTTTTACTCTAATTTGTCTATTTAAAAACTGACTAGTTGGCTGAAACATTCAAATGAAAAAATTCAGATCACTATCTAATTTTCTTCTCATCTCCTCTCTTATTTTACTCTTGATTGAGTCCCAACAGCAATCACATAAATATCCAAAGAAAATGAAAAAGACTTAAACAAAATTCATAAATAGTGCAAGAAGAAAATCATAAACTTCAATGTCAAGGCATTGGATTGAAACACTAACCCGATCCACTTGAAGATAACTTCAGGTCTCCGTGTGAAAATAGAACTGCTTAATCCCTGGGGTACTGAGTTGTTTATTTCAATTGCTTCTTGTAAAGTCTGTGTGAAAAGAATTTGGTTATTGAAGTTGAGGCGCATGCATTACAAAGCAATACAAAGATGGTAGAAATCTTTTTTGTAGCTCTGCTACTTGTGCAAAATGTTCAAACTAGAACATCTTCTAAATCAAAAAAATTACCTTAAATTTCATAACATAGAGAACAGGTGCAAACAACTCTTCTTTGACAACACCTGCATTCGGAGAAATCTCAACTATTGTAGGCTGGACAAAGTTCCCTTCAGACTCTATTACACTCCCACCTGCGAGGATTGTTCCGCCCTACAAAACATCAAAGTAAGTAATAATAAACTTTCCCAACTAAACCAAATCCAATCAAAATAACCTCTTTTGTGGTCTTTTGTGAAATGATCCTAATTAAAATACTTGACTACAAGTTTCACACACAAAACCAATAAATAAAGTTTTGAGATACAACCCAATGAACTTCTAGATTATCTAAACATAATATCAATAATTCCATCACATTTGATGCATCATTTTAGAGGGAACAGCAGAGAAAAATTCAGCCATAAGTGGGCCATAAAAATTCAGCCATAAAGCGGCCCCAACCTGGAACTTCTTATGAATCATCACAATATATTCTAAGAAATTTCAATCCAAAGAGGCTATGAAACTGCTTTAAATACGTTTTGCTTTAGTGTCCAGCAGTTTATAAGTTGTGGACTATGGTTCATGAGCTGTTTGACATTAGTTGGGTGATGGCAGGTTTGGTGAGAGACAATTTGGGCATAGAAGGGCATTAGCGGCCCAAGAAAACAAGTGGATCTGTAGAAAATAAATAATTAGAAGAATAAATTAGGATTAAATATATTTATTTACAGCTGTTATTTTTGTTTATGAACTGTACATTCTATGTAAATGGAAGATGTCACCAACAAATTTCCTCCTTAATCAGAATTTTATTAGAATTTCTCCAGAATTTATTAGGTTGTTAGAAACAGCAAATTTGTATATATATGTGTGAATCACTCATCAAGAAAATGAGAAATATAATATTTTTCCTCTCAATTTTCTTCATGGTATCAGAGCATACCTGATCCAAGAAGAAATCAAACCCTGTTGAGCCTTAATCAGAAATGGCCTCAGGTGACCTTCCACCCTCTCCACCAGAAGTTTTCTCTGGTTCTTATCACCACACAGCAACAACCAGAGTTGTGAGTGAGCTACCATCGTCCTGTATCACAGGACACAAACTCGACGGCAGTAACTTCCTTCAATGGTCGTCGTCTGTCCGTCTCTTCATCCGCGGAAAAGGGCGTTATGGGCACCTCACTGGCGAGCTCGTGCCTCCTCCAGCCTCCGATGCAAATGCACAAACATGGGAAATCGAAGACAGCATGGTCATGTCCTCGCTTATCACCTCAATAACTCCTGAAATCGGAGAGAATTTCCTTCTCTACGAAACTGCTCACGAAATCTGGAAGGTAGTACAGGAGCTCTACTCCAGCAAGCAAAATACCTCTGCAATATTTGAAATCGAGTCAACTCTCCATGACCTTCGGCAAGGAGAACTCAGTGTCACCCAGTATTACAGTATCCTTAATCGAAGTTGGCAGCAGATGGACGCCTTTGAGAAATGTCGCTGAAACTGTCCCGAGGACGCGAAAAACTTTAGAGCCTTCGTGGAAGAATAACTGGTCTTCAAATTCCTGTTAGGGCTGAACAAAAATCTCGACGCGATTCGGGGACATGTTCTGAGCACCAAGCCTTTGCCGAGTCTTCAGGAAGCATTTTCTAAGGTTCGACGCGAGGAGAGTCATCGGAAGATCATGATGGGAGAGATTGATCAACCTCACCCGACTGAAAATTCTTCAACTCTCACAACCCGAGTGATTGACAGTCGAACGGAGAAGACAAGGCCCTGGTGCGATCACTGTCGAAAGCTAGGGCACACTCTGGATCGTTGCTGTAAGCTTCACGGCAAGCCAAGTGACTGGAAACCACCTTCAGGTGAGTGGAAAACGTCGAAAGCAGAGACCTCCAGCAAACATCAAGGAAATCATGTGATGGCTGAGGAAGTAATTTCTGATGAGATAGGAAAAGACCCATTTACTCCTGAGCAGTTGGAAGCCCTCCAATGTATTTTGTTCAAGAAATCTCACCCGGTCAATGCCTCTGTGGCACATAAAGGTAATATTATTGGCTTATATGTTTTTTCAGAAAAATGACAGGTGTAAGTGGTAGACTCTGGAGCATCTGATCATATGAGTGTAAATTTTTCAATATTCCAAAATTACAGAAGATATGAAGAAAATTTTTCAATCAGAATTGCAGATGGTTCTCTCTCAACAGTGGCATGAATGGGTTCTGTAAATTTGTCTCCAAATTTGACTCTCTGTTCAGTTATCCATGTTCCAAATTTGGATTGTAATTTGTTGTCTGTCAGCAAGCTATGTGAAGATTTGAAATGTGCTACGAAATTTGTTTCTAATATGTGTAATTTTCAAGATTTGGACTCGAAGAGAACGATTGGCAGTGTTAGGATGAGCTCAGGATTATATTTGCTTCAAATCAACACTTCTAAAAGACAAGCTCACAATGTAATATGTGAAAACTCTGTTTCTATTTCCGAAAATAATGACCATGATATTACGTTGTGGCACTATAGATTAGGACATCCAAACTTCATGTACTTGAAAAAGATGTTCCCACTACTATTTAAAGGAAAAGATCCAGTTTCATTATAGTGTGAAGTTTTCCAATTTTCTAAACATACTCGAAGTTCATTCCCTAACCTACCATATAAACCATCTAAACCATTTGCATTAATGCACAGTGATGATTGGGGCCCTTCCAGGGTTTCCAACATTTCCGGAACTAGGTGGTTTGTATCTTTTATTGATGACCATACAAGAATCACTTTGGTATTTCTCATGAAAGAAAAATCTGAAGTGGGATCCCTGTTTAAAAAATTCCATACAATGATTCGAACCAAATTTCATACTACTATTCAAGTATTGAAATCCGACAATGCTTATGAATATTTTGAAAATACTCTTGAAAAATACTTTATTGAACATGCCATTATTCATCAAAACTCCTGTATTCATACTCCACAGCAAAACGGCATAACCAAAAGGAAAAACAGACATATACTTGAGGTTGTCAGATCACTCATGTTCACCACTCATGTACCAAAATATTTTTGGGGAGAGTCTGTTCTTTCAGCTACTTATTTGATTAATCGGATGCCCTCCCATATCCTACAGTTTCAATCACTGTACACTATCCTCTTAAAAATCTTTTCCGATTCACACATCTTAAATACTTTACCACCTAAAGTCTTTGGTTGTTTAGCATCTGTCCATGTTCATAAACATCTTCGTGGGAAATTAGACTCAAGAGCAATAAAGTATATTTTTGTTGGGTACTCAGCAAATAAAAAAAGATACAAATGTCTAATTCTGAAAACCCGTCGGTTTTATAATACAATGGACGTCACATTTTTTGAGAACCAACCGTTTTATCCCACTAATGATATTTAGGGGGAAACATTCACTCAGAAATATCAGTTGTGGGATGTGAATGTACCTCCTCTTTACCCACTAAATCCACCACCAGACAAACCTTCTCTGGAGACTGAACCCGAAACCTCACAAAAGAAATCAGAACTAAAATTAGTTACAGAAAGCACGTTACCTACAACGAGTGAGCTACGTATCTATACGAGAAGAAACAAAGGAAAAGCACCTGAATCATCCAAGCACTGCCATGAATCCACCGTTGATCCAGGTAATGTAATCTCTGTACCAACTCTTGATTCCGTTGATTCTAATCTTCTTATTGCTTTGAGGAAGGGTACTCGAACATGCACCAAATATCCTATACAGAACTATGTTTCATTGGACAAATTATTCTCGAAACATCATGCTTTTGTGTGCAAGATAGACAGTAGCTCACCTGAACCCAGAACAATATATAAGGCCTTGGAAATTCCAGAATGGAAGTTAGCTGTCCTAAATGAGATCAAGGCACTTGAAAAGAATAAAACATGGGAACTAACTGATCTTCCTCCAAGAAAGCGTTAAGTGGGATGCAAATGGGTCTTTACAACTAAATATAATCCAGATGAGAGTATGAATCGGTTTAAGGCTAGCCTGGTAGTCAAAAGCTATACACAATCATATGGTATAGACTATCAGGAGATGTTTGCACCAGTTGCCAAACACAATACTATTCGGGTACTCCTCTCACTTGCATTTAACCTTGACTGGCCATTGTGTCAACTAGATGTAAAGAACGTATTCCTTAAGGGTGATTTGGAAGAAGAGATGTATATGAATATACGACTAGGGTTCGAATTAACTGACAATCCTCAGAAAGTGTATAAATTGAAGAAATTACTTTATGACCTAAAACAATCTCTAAAGGCATGGTTTGACATATTCATAAGAGCTGTAAAACATAAAGGATATGAACAATGTCAATCAGATCATACATTGTTTGTCAAACACTGCATCTCAGGTAAGAAAACTATTTTAATTGTACATGTTGATGATATCATTCTTACAGGAGATCACCTTGAGGAGATTCAAAAACTTAAAGAATTCCTTGTCAAAGAATTTGAAATAAAAAATCTTAGAGTACTGAAGTACTTCCTCGGTATGGAAGTGGCTAGATCAAAAAGGGAGATTTCAGTTTCTCAACGAAAGTACATTCTGGATCTCCTAAAAGAGAGTGAGATACTAGGAAGCAAGCCCGCTGACACCCCGATAGATTCAGTCATCAAACTTGGATCCAGAATCAGTGATAAAATGGTTGACAAAAGGAGATACCAAAGACTTGTTAGGAAACTTATTTACTTAACTCATACAAAACCAGACATCAGTTTTGCAGTAAATACAGTAAGTCAGTTCATGCATCAACCAACTGAAGATCACATGAGAGCTGTGTATCGGATTCTGAGGTATCTCAAGAAGACTCCAAGACAAGATTTATTCTTTTAGAAGACAGATAAAAGAAGTGTTGAAATCTACACGGATGCGAATTGGGCAGGTTCTACAGATGATGGGAGATCTACATCAGGATATTGTACCTATATTTGGGGTAACCTGGTTCCATGGAGAAACAATAAACAATTAGTTGTGTCTCGCAGCAGTGCATAATCTGAATTTAGACTCATGGTATTTGTGAAGGTATATGGTTAAAGAGAATACTTGAAGAATTAAAGGTTCTCAATAATATGCTTATGAAAGTATGGTGCGACAACAAATCAACAATCAATATGGCCAAAAATCCAGTACATCATGATAGAACCAAACATGTGGAAATCGAATGTCATTTCATTAAAGAGAAATTGGAAGATAGGAGTATAACTCTGATGCACATTCCAACGAATCAACAGATCGTAGATATTCTAATGAAACCTCTTCTCAAGAGAACCTTTGATGACATAATATTCAATCTAAATTTACTCAACATATACGTAAACTAAATTGAGAGGGAGTGTAGAAAATAAATAATTAAAAAAATAAATTAAGATTAAATTACATTTATTTACAGCTGTTATTTTTGTTTATGAACTGTACATTCTGTGTAAATGGAGGGTGTCACCAATAAATTTCCTCCTCAACCAGAATTTTGTTAGGATTCTCCAGAATTTGTTAGGTTGTTAGAAGCAGCAGATTTGTATATATATGTGTGAATCATTCATCAAGAAAATGAGAATTAGAATATTTTTCCTCTCAATTTTCTTCAGGATCTAATTCCGCTCTCTATCTTTTGGGTAATGTAGAAGGAGATGAATAGAAGGGTTTTCGATGGGGTTGAGAATTTAAATGGTTTTGATATTCTTAAGAATAGATGATTTCAGACTCTTATTTTTTTGTTACAGGGTCATCCTTTTTGTTCTATAGAAGATTTGATGGACCTTATTGATACATGATTGACTTGTAAATTTTGTACATGGGTAAACACGCCTTTAGTGCCTATACTAATACAAAATTCACAGTTCATATTTCAAAAAAACAAAACGAAACTGCTTTAAATGGTGGAGGTGTTGATCAAATGAGATACATGAGTGAAAAAGGACAACATGCTGTAAGGAACCTACCTGAGATTTGATGACTTCAATTCCTTTCTTGAAATTGTTTCTTGATTCCGAAGTATGTAATGGCCCAAGCAAGACGCCTTTTTCTAATGGATTCCCTACTTTAACTTGCTTGTATACCTCAAGCAGTCGATCAAGTACTCTCTGATAGACACTTTCATGAAGAAGCTTTAAGACAAGCAAACAAAATATTTAGCAATTGAAAGTAACACTACTATCAACGTATAAAAGCCAACATAAAATGGCATATATAACTACCAGCCTACGACAAGTTGTGCAACGCTGACCAGCTGTACCAACAGCAGCAAAAAGAACAGATCGGACAGCTAGCTGGATGTCAGCATCATCCATGACAACGATAGCATTGTTTCCACTTAATTCAAGCAAACATTTGCCATATCTTGCATTCACCGTTTGTTGCACCATTAAGCCCACCTATACTTACCATATCAAAGATAAATAGAAGTCCATGTAGGATATATACATTAACCAAAATTTCCAAAATTTTAAATAAAGTCCACCTTTGAACTTCCAGTAAAGGAAACCAGAGGAATACGTGTATCTCTTGAAATTGCTTGACCAATTTCAGCACCACCACAGAAAGATGTAAAAATGGCACCCGGCAAGTTGTTCTTCTCTAAAACTCCAGCAACTAACTTTGTCATAGCAACAGTTATCAGTGGAGTGGTTGGAGCACCTTTCCTGTTGTTTATGAAGTAGATTTGTTTATCAATTTTCTAATCCAAGTAAATTTTTTAACCTTATTTGTGCCAATGGTTTCACAAAAGGCAGATTATACAATTGGAATGAAGTAGATTTAGTATGTAGAGACTTCAATTGTAAACTTTGAAACTGAGTACAGAGAAATAGCATAGAAATAAAGAACCAAAGCACCTTTAAATTGTTATTAAAGAAAGAACTTTTAACTTGATTATTCTTTTTCTTCTTTTCCTAGTCATGCCAATACTTTAAGAACTAGTTGTTTCACTTGATTGATGGCTTTCTAAAAAGAAACTTCGACTTTCATGTCAAGTGTAGTATTCCCTTTTAACATGCCGAGGGATCTGCTTCAAATTCACTAAAACATTAACTTGCAATTCTTCTTCCTGCTTCTATCTATTCACTATTCTTCATAGCATCAACTTACTGCATCATCAATTCACTTAAACAATTCAAAATGAACAACTCAAATCCAAAGTCACTATCCTAACCTTTTATCCAGGCACAAGAAAAGACCGATGAATTGCAAAGAATGAAATCAAAATGCATTTGCATATCAAACTATAGGATCAGTAATTCCAGAAAGGTCATATCCATCAAATCATTGCAGAAGGGCGTGGAATGTGCCCGTTAAGTGTAATTTGCAGAATTGGGAAGTGGAAGAGTATGTGGAGTTGCCGCTGTGTTTATCTAATATTAAAATATCCAAGAACAATGATAAAAGAGTATGGTAGTCAGACAAAAAGAGGGGCTTCTCTGTAAAATCATACTAAGAATTTGTTACTATGAGAGAGAACAACAACAACCAAACAGTCCCTTTCAAGCAAATATGAAAAATCTAAAGCACCACCTAGAACCATTTTTTTTTTTTCGCTTGGGAAGCGACTAAAGAGAGGATTTTAACAATTGACATGCTTAGAAGAAGAGGAAATGTGCTGATAAACAGGTTATTTCTGCAAATCTGATGAGGACACTTGTTACCATTTGCTGCTGGGTTGTGCTGTTACACACGGCATATGGTCTTCTGTTTTGAGGCTTATTGGGGTGGATTGAGTTACGGCAGGTAGTGTAAGTAATGAACTTTTGGCTTGGGAGGGTTTGTGTATAAAAAAGGGGGAGACATTTATTTCTTGCACCACTTACTATTTTTTAGATGATTTCGAAAGAAATAAATGGTAGACCTTTTGAGGGGGTAGAGATTAATCTTGGTAACATTAGAGATAAATGGATTCACACTTTTGGATTTATTTTACTGGGTCATGATATTAAAAACCTAGATGATATAGGTGTGATCATTGACCAATTGATAGATTTGTAACTATTTTGCATATGGGTCGTACCTTCTTCGTACCTTGTGCATAATAATAATTCACTTTTATTTAAAAAAAAATATATCAAAATGCTTTTTTCCCAGTGTAGTACTGTGACTTACCAAACAACACAGTTGCCACAAACCAGTGCAATACAAGCATTCCATCCTACAGAAACACGTGAAAATGCATGAATTTACTTATATTATGAAAGCTGAAAAAAAAGCCAAATGCCACAGCATATTTCATCTGAGCAACAGTTGAAAACTGCATGAGATTAACTAATATTGTAATATTGGTGCAGATCCTTTGAACGAAAAACACTTAGAAATTATCCTTTCTGATTGGCACAAGTTACTGATAGTTCCAATGCCAATGTGTTTTAACGGATAACCAAAACATTTAGAAAACCTTTACCAGATGTAATAAACTGATCCCTTTGGTCCTACAGCAAATAATGTGCTAAATGAATTCTTCATTGCAATTGAAACTAACAAGCTTTAATCATCATATGTTGATGGCCTCCAATATGCTAAGCAGTAAAAATAAAGTCATCCTTTTGATCCCAACAGAGTGACCAAAAAGTGAAGTTTGAACCTCCTGCTCATATCCAAA